GTAGAGATCGCGCCACTGCACTCCAGCCTGGGCGACAGAGTGAGACTCCGTCTCAAAAAAAAATAAAAAGAAAATAAAAGAGAATGAAAAGAAAGTTTCTGCCAGTCACTGTGACTCACGCCTGTAATCCCAGCACTTTGGGAGGCCAAGGCCAGTGCATTGCTTGAGTCCATGAGTTCGAGACCAACATGGGCAACATGACAAAACCCCGTCCCTATAAAAAACAGAAAAATCAACTGGGCATGGTGGTGCATGCCTATAGTCCTAGCTACTTGGGAGGCTGAGATGGGAGGATAGCTTGAGTCCAGGAGGCAGAGGTTACCATGGGCCAAGATTGTGCCACTTCTCTCCAGCCTGGGCGATACAGCCAGACCTTGTCTAAAAAAAGAAAAGAAAAGAAAATTTCATGGACGCGAGCCATGCAGCCTCTTGCTGGTTATGAAATACACACTAGAACTAGTGTAAGTCTAGTGGCTTCATATTTTAAACTATTAGCAACTGCCTCATTTCTCACTTTTTTTCGTGTTTTTCATGTTCCTCTCCCCCAAGGTATTATAGAGGGAAACGTTTCCAAAAACCATGCCAGTTTCCTTCCTTTGGTGTTCTATACTTGGAATCCTTAGTCTTCTGTGGTCAATAGAGTCGTGTGCAAAAACTTGACTAGTTTAAGGGGAATTATTAGGAAATAAATGGTTTTGTTGTCTTTTGGTCATTAGCTTGGCCCCATGTTTAAGCATTCAGTAACAGCTGTGAAGAGCCTGCTACAAATCAAGTGGTTGTTAGGCTGGGCAGTGTCTGAGGAAGTAGCCCTGCACTAAGACCTGAAAAGTAAAGAAGCAAGCAATGGGGAGTTGGGGAAGAGCATTCCAGACAGAGGCTTAATGTGTTGAACCATCTTTTCCAAACTCTTCCTCTGTTATCCTCTCTTCAGTCACTATGTCCCCTTTCTATCCCAGACCATAATTCCACCATTTATCTTAAGACTGAGCCCAGGGCCTATACTATTATACAGGTTGTTTACTGCACACATCTAGGGGCACTATTTACCTTTGTTATCTTTGTAGGTTTGAATATTTCTTATGAGTTTTCCAGCAGATGGCAGTAACATGCATGAGGACAGGGTGACTTTTTCTAATTTGCACAAAGGTTTTTTTTGAGACAGAGTCTCACTCTTTCACCCAGGCTGGAATGCAATGGTGCGATCTCAGCTCACTGCAACCTCTGCCTCCCAGGTTCAAGCGATTCTCCTGCCTCAACCTTCTGAGTAGCTGGGAGTACAGGCACGCGCCACGACGCCTGGCTAATTTTTGGATTTTTAGTAGAGATGGGGTTTCGCCATGTTGGCCAGGCTGGTTTCGAACTCCTAACCGCAAATGATCCACCCACCTTGGCCTCCCAAAGTGCTGGGTTTACAGGCATGACCCACGGCACCCAGCCTAAAGGTAGACACTTCTGATTTACATCTAGGCACGTGTCGTCTTTATCCCTTTTCCTTCTCTGACACATCCTTTTCTCTCTGGGTCCCAGCCTTATTCTCTAAGCTTTCTCTTCCTGTCTTTCAAATATTTTGAATGTGTAGAAGAATTACAATTGTGCTACAAGGAAATCCTGTATAATCTTCACTCTGGTTCACCAATTGTTAACATTTGGCCACATGTGCGTTATCCCCCGCTCCCTCTCAGTATAGATAGATGTTTTTTTCCTGAACCATTTGAGAGCTGATTGCAAACGTTCTGCCTCTTTACCCCTGCTTTGGAGTGTGTTTCCTTTGAACAAAACATCTTTGTTTTACATAATCAACGGAAGTTATTAAGGAAATTTAACAGTAATTAGGAAATTAAACATTGATAACAGTACTTTTATCAATTACATAGTCCACATTTAAATGTTGTCAGTTATACCAATGATGTCTTTATAGCTGTATTTACCCCTTTTCCAGAGTCCAGTCTAGGATCACACTTTGTGCCTCGTCCCATCTCCTTACTCTCCTTTAATCTGAGAATTAAGATTAAAAGAAGTTCCTCAGTCTTTCTCTGTCTTTCACACCATTGACATTTTTTAAGACTACGGGCCAGTTTTGTAGAATATTTCTCAATCTGGGTTTGTCTGGTGTTTTCTTATTAGATGCAGGTTACGTATTTTGGGCGGGAATACCACAGAAGTGATGTTGTGTCTTTCTCAGTGCATGCACTATGTCCGGAGGCATATGGTATCGGTTTGTTCTACTACTGATGACGTTGGCCCCTTAAGCCTTCTATGTTGAAACTGTTCCTGTAGTTATATGAGCTCTAACATGTATATACTTGAACTCTGACTATAGGAATTCTCCTGCTTATAGGAATTCACTTTTAAGTAGGCAGCATTCTATTAAGTTCTTCTGTTCAATCTCTTAGTTCAATCAAGTGAGCCTGAGTTGCCTCCCAATTCTTTCTCTCCTTTGCAGCATCACTATCTGGGCCTCTCATGTTCCATCAGGAGTCATAATACCTTCTCTTTCTCCTAGTACGTTGCATCCCTTAGCCAGACTCTTTGAACCAGTGATTACTTCTTATATACAATCAGCATATTTTTAGTGTTTTATTGGTTTCAAGTTAAGGTTCTTTGGCTCTAGGAAGGTTAGTCTTCAAAGAAATGGTTTCAGAAGAGAGCTGTATAGCTGAATGTGGGGAAGAACTAGGTACCCACAAGACAACTTGAATCACACCCAGGTTCGTTTTACCCCAAATCAGTCTTTTCAGCTAACCTTATTTGGATTATGGTTAAAGTATTTACTGCATGTCATTTACAGTGTCTTAGCCTTCTTTATTCCTTAAACTCTAGGAAGTAGATTTCATTTTCTTCATTTTTCAGATGAGGAAATGGAGGCTTGGAAAGGTTAAAGTAATATAGTGAGAAATTACCAGGACTCAAACTCATGTCGCTCCAGCTCCAAAGCCCTTGCTCTTTTTGAGAGCAGGTAGTGGCTGGGAGGAAAGTCCTCTAGCTATTCATGGTGAAATTAGCCTTCGTAGACAAATACGCAAAAGGTAATGGCGGCCACATGCAGAGGCTAATGCCTATAATCCCAACGCTTTGGGATGCCGAGGCGGGCAGATCACTAGAAGTCAGGAGTTCGAGACCAGCCTGGCCAATATGGTGAAACCCTGACTCTGTCTCAAAAATAAATAAATAAAAGTAATGTCACTGCTAGATTGGAGGTGATTGCTGGCAGCTGCCACTCAGAGATTTAGAGGTGTCTTTAAACCAGGACCATCCTGGGCAACTGGATCTTACAGTTGGGGACTTCCAAACTGGGAAAATCGAAATACTTCTACTTAAACTCATTTCCTGACATAATTATTAATAGTGCCCCACTCACTTTTTTTTTTTTTTTGAAAGAGTCTCATTCTGTCACCCAGGCTGGAGTACAGTGGCACAATGTTGGCTCACTGCAGCCTCCACCTCCCAGGTTCAAGTGATTTCTCGTGCCTCAGCCTCCCAAGTAGCTGAGATTACAAGCGTGCACCACTGCGCCCAGGTATTTTTTTGTATTTTCAGTAGAGACAGGGGTCTCACCATGTTGGCCAGTCTGGTCTTGAACTCCTGGCCTCAAGTGATCTGCTTGCCTCGGCCTCCCAAAGTGCTGGGATCACAGGTGTGAACCACTGCACCCTGCCAGCCCCACTCACTTTTTTTCTTTTTTTTTTTTTTTTGAGACAGAGTTTTATTCTGTCACCTAGGCTGGAATGTAATGGCGTGATCTCGGCTTACTACAGCCTCCGCTTCCTGGGTTCAAGCGATTCTCCCACCTCAGCCTCCCGAGTAGCTGGGACTACAGGCACGTACCACCATGCTCAGCTAGTTTTTGTATTTTTAGTAGAGACTGGCTTTTCGCCATGTTGGCCAGGTTGGTCTTGAACTCCTGACCTCAGGTGATCTGCCCGCCTTGGCCTCCCAAAGTGCTAGAATTACAGGCATGAGCCACCATGTCTGGCCCCCACTCACTTTTTTTAAGAGTACTGCAGCTTGGCCAGGCATGGTGGCTCATGCCTATAATCACAGCACTGTGAGAGGCCACAGCAGGAGAATTGCTTGAAGCCAGGAGTTTCAGACTAGCCTGGGCAACATATTGAGACCCTGTCTCTACAAAAAAGATAAAATGTACCTGGACATGGTGGCACATACCTGTAGTCCTAGCTGCTCGGAGGCTGAGGTAGGAGGTTTGCTTGAACCCAAGAGTTAAAGGCTGCACTGAGAAATGATAGTGCCACTGCTCTCCAGCCCGGGTGACAGAGTGAGATGCTGTCTCAAAAAAGGGAGGAGGGGGTATTGTGGCTTAGATAATTATATGGTCCCCTATACATAATCCTTCCTGAATTCTTTTCAGATTAACATCGAGATTGGTGTTTCTTTGTAACTAGCACTAATAGTGCTTGGTCTATTTTTATTTACCACTTTCTTTGCCCCGCCCCAATTTATACACTGGGGCAAAATTAGCTTTGGTTTTATAGTCTGTTCACCCAACTAATTTATAGGTCTGGTTTACATAATTTAGTTAACAGCAAGATTTTGCCACACCTGCTTTATCATCCTTTCTACCAAAATATTTAAGGTAAATGGCACTTTACCCCAGTGTATTTCCATAGCTGAAATAAGCTCTTAAATTTTTATAATCCTATCCTGAAACCTAATCAGTGTAGCAGAAGAACCTTTTGCCTTGTGAGTTATCACCCCGACATAATTTGATTTTCATTTATAAGATTCTCTTAGAACCAAGTACAGTAGCACACACCTGTAGTTCCAGCTACTCAGGAAGTGAAGGCAGGAGGATCACTTGAGCCCAGAGTTCCAGGCCAGCCTGGGCAACATAGTGAGACCACCATCTCTTTAAAAAAACAAAGCCAGATTATCTTAAAGTGGGGCATACCTGTATTTGTGTGCTAATGTGAGGCTCCACAGGTATGCAAGATATAGTAGCTGTGGGCATTTCCTATAATTTATATTCCCTTTTCTTTTGTCAGTGCACGATCTGATTTTCTGGAGAGATGTGAAGAAGACTGGGTTTGTCTTTGGCACCACGCTGATCATGCTGCTTTCCCTGGCAGCTTTCAGTGTCATCAGTGTGGTTTCTTACCTCATCCTGGCTCTTCTCTCTGTCACCATCAGCTTCAGGATCTACAAGTCCGTCATCCAAGCTGTACAGAAGTCAGAAGAAGGCCATCCATTCAAGTGAGTTGAAGTCTTAAAAGTGACATTCTGCATTTTAGTGGAAGGGTTCACTGAAGCTGATAGTTCTAAAACTCAGACCTGACTAAAAAGCAAGAATTATGGGGCCTGATGCAGCTGGTGGGTGGCATGAAGCATCCCCTAGAGACCTTGAAATCACCTTAAGAAGTGGCCAAGGTAGGAGCCAAGAATTTTTTGACAAATTAGAGGCTCTACTTGAAGTTCAAAGAGGGAGTCCCTGAAGGGAGTCCTTCAAAGAAGACTCTAAATTCTTTTTTTTGAGACGGATATTGCTTTTGTTACCCAGGCTGGAGTACAATGGCACGATATCAGCTTACTGCAACCTCTGCCTCCCAGGTTCAAGCAATTCTCCTGCCTCAGCCTCCTGAGTAGCTGGGATTTCAGGCGTGCGGCACTACGCCCAGCTAATTTTGTATTTTTAGTAGAGATGGGGTTTCTCCATGTTGGTCAGGCTGGTCTTGAACTTCTGACCTCGAACTTCCGCCTGCTTCGGCCTCCCAAAGTGCTGTTTTTTTGTGTGTTTTTGTTTTGTTTTGTTTTGTTTTTGAGACAGTCTCTCAAAAACAGGCTGGATCACGGCAACCTCTGCCGTCCTAGTTGAAGCAATTCTCCTGCCTCGGCCTCCTGAGCTGGGATTACAGGCACACGTCACCAAGCCTGGCTAATTTTTGTAGTTTTAGTAGAGACAGGGTTTCACCATGTTGGTCAGGCTGGTCTTGAACTCCTGAACTCGTGATCCGCCCGCCTCGGCCTCCCAAAGTGTGGGGATTACAGGCGTGAGCCACTGCGCCTGGCGACTCTAAATTCTTGAGCAGGGCAGGGAAAGCAGAGCACCTGGAGCAGCGCTCAGTTAGATGGGGTTCTGAGTGGATGTTTAAACCCCCACATGGGTAAGACTTGAAATGACTTTCAAATCTTATTGAGTGTGTGCTGTTGGTAATATCAGAACTCAGTGTTTTTATTCTTGGTTTATTACTGATTTCCTCCTTATCTCTTACTAGTTTTCTTAACACTGGAGTCTTAATGAAGTCAGTAGATCTTCTGACTACATTTCTAGTATACAATTTCTAGCTTTTCTGATTGTGCTGTAACTTTAACAAATGTTTTCTTCACACTTTCCTCTTGAAAATCTTACCCCATAAACAATGTTGACTTTAACATGAGCAAATGACAGTTTTTTGAAAGCTCTTTCTTCATAGAGAAGGAGACCCTGCTGTGACCTCTCAGGACTACAACAGAATAGGTTTCTGGCCGCACCTATGCTCATTGTATTTTCTCTTGGTGAAAATAGAAGGAATAGCTTAGAACTATATGTGGCATTAAAACATTTATTGCAGTTCAGCCACGGTGACTTACGCCTGTTATCCCAGCACTTTGGGAGGCTGAGGCAGGCAGATTACTTGAGGTCAGAAGTTCAAGACCAGCCTGGCCAACATGGTGAAACCTCGTCTCTACTGAAACTACAAAAATGAGCCAGACACGGTTGCAGGCGCTTGTAATCCCATCTACTCGGGAGGCTGAGACAGGAGAATTGCTTGAACCCAGAGGCAGAGGTTGCAGTGAACGGAGATCCCACCACTGCACTCTAGCCTAGGTGACAGAGTGAGACTCTGTCTCAAAGTATAATAATAATTGCAAATTATATTTTTTGTTTTTTTCTTTTTATTTTACTTTATTTTATTGTGTTTTATTTATTTATTTATTTTGAGACAGTATCTTGCTGTGTTGCCTGGGCTGGTCACCAGCTCCTGAGCTCAAGCAATCCTTACATTTCAGCCTCCCAAAGTGCTGGGATTACAGGCATGAGCCACTGCACTGGCATGTTTTTTCTTTTTTCTTTTTTTCCCCCCGAGATGGAGTTTCATTCTTGTTGCCCAGCCTGGAGTGCAGTGGGACGATCTCGGCTCACTACTACTTCCGACTCATGGTTCAGCCTCAGCGTTCTGCCTCAACCTCCCTAGTAGCTGGGATTACAGGTGCCTGCCACCACACTTGGCTAATTTTTGCATTTTTAGTAGAGATGGGGTTTCACCATGTTGGTCAGGCTGCTCTCAAACCCCCTGACCTCAAGTGATCCGCCCACCTCGGCCTCCCAAAGTGCTGGGATTACAGGCGTGAGCCACAGCGCCC